GGGGGGAGGGGGGGGGGTAGTGGGCGAGGGGGGAAAGAGCGAGAGATAGTAGGAGCTGTGGGGTGTTTCTTATTCGACACACTCTCCCGTAACCCCTCGAACTCTCATGTAGTAGGTCAGCGGTCGCCGCTGTTTCTTATTGAGACATTCCTTATTGTGTGACCTAGACTTGGCTATGTTTCTTAACCCTGTTGTCGTATTTTTCGTGGAAAAGTGACACTCAATTTCTTTTAATATTTCTTCATTGCGGGCGCCATCTGTATATCCCGTCTACGACCCTCCTGCCCATATATTGACATAGCCAATCAAATTTCCCCTCCCCAACGCTGCTGTCTGTACTGCTGTATGCATTGATGCATAGGGCAAGGGGGTACACGAAAAAATTATTTGTCCTCGACACACACTCCACTTTTATCATTGTGGGTCAGCCGAGGGGGGGGGGGGGTTGTACTCACCTTCTTGCATGCCGTAGTCGTTAGACCATTGACCTCACATCCCTACAAAGCCGGGACGGAGCGCGCCGGGTTCTAACCGGTGCAATGCATTAGGGAACCTCTGTTGTGTACGAAGTCGTATCGCCATTGTGTGGGGTTCCCTTGCTAAATCAGGTTGAGGTTCTTTAATGATGCCGCGTTCCCCCAACGTTGGGGAGTGTGAGGTTCTTTGATGCAGCGTTCCCCCAAGGTTGGGGAGTGTGAGGTTCCCTGATGAAGAGGTTCCCCTTGCACTGTTCTGGGAAAAGGTTCCGTAATGCACAAGCGAATCCCGTGACCCTACTACCGCATCTGCACTCCATTGTACTTTCTCAACGGCAGCCCCGTCTTGCGCGTACTTCGATCTATGTACATGGTGGTACTCACAAAGGAGGCACGTACACTAGGGGAGACTGCCGTGCGATCAGCCCGCGAAGCAAACCAACCTGTTGTTGTCTGCCCGGTGGGGGGCAGATTTTCTTTTGTCATTGTTTGCATCCGCTGTTTGTTCGTTGTCCGAAGTGTGTTGGATGTAACTACGATGGCGTCCATGGTAGAGTAAGGGTAGAGTGGTGGTTTCGGTGTATGTGGGACGGGATGAGAGGGGGAAGCGACCGGCGTCGTGCTCTCCTTAGTTGTCAAATACTTTTCTACCCGTGTTCGTAAGCAAAAAACACTGCTGTGCAGAGATAACAACTTACCAACCGCTGCCCACCCTTACGAGCACGCTACACTGCAATCTGCAGTAACGAACTCTCAAGAGCAGCCAGCATAGACGGCTCGAACGTGAAAACCGTCCCGATGCCTGAAGTCCCATCGTGCCGTGGGCTGGTCCATGCTGTCAGTTTCGTCCTGAAGACTGAGCGCGTCGTTCTGACCGCGGGATGTGTCTGCGAAGAAAACGGGGACCCCCCCCCTCCGCGCGTTCCAGTATTGTTCATTAGGGCTCCCGTCCCTGCCTCGAATGGGTGAAAATCTCTAGGGATCACTCACCCACGTGCTTGCTTTCCTGTCTCGCAATCGCATGTCTTGGGGTTCCGTTCGTATCTGTAGCCGCGGTGGTACACCCCACGGGCGGGTTTTAGTTCTTACCACCATGTTAGAATTTTCTTGCAGAAGCACCTGCTCTCACTGTCAATTGCTATGGTTTGCAGGTTTCGAGGCTGAAGTTTGTTGTACCAAATTTGGTGCGGGTGCCTGCTGTAGTTGTAGGTTTAGTTCCAAAGATGCGCCACGTAGGGGTTGGTCTCCTGGCCTTCCTTGGATTGACCGAGTACATGTAATTGTGCCTGAGTTCGCTACCCAGCCTGGTTTCAGAATGCAGCAAAGGGAACATTTGATGACGAAGAATCGAAATGGGTCGTACGCTTGAGATATATCGTATAGCAACTCCATCGTACCATTTCGTCTTGCGTCTTTGGACAGGCCATGAAGCCGCGATGGGAGCTGGGTGCGCTGCTCACCGTCGCTTGCATCAGCGTCGCGACGGGATTCACTACTTATGATTCGTCCGGTGGGTATGTGGGTATGCATACGTCCGCGTACGTCCCCCATCCAAAGGCAACGAACCGCGTTGGTACAACGCCTCTGCTTGTACTGCTGTTGGTAGCTGCTTGTACCTCGGCGATTGGTCTCTGTTGGGGTACATGTATAGGACTCGTGTGAAGAACACCACACACAGGCCCACTACTTATTAAGCGCTTTTTGGTACAAATGGGACTAGCCCTTACTGGGGCCTCTCATTTTGCGTAAGCTCGCGGAGGCTGCTCCAATCCGAACTATCTTCGAATTTCGGCCAGACCTTTCCGGTTCGGGTTCTTTTTCCTACAAGGGGTCCCGAATGCAGGTTGCCACTTGTCCGGTGCCCGTGTTTGGCACTGGATGGGGTCAAATCAACGTACCATTCATAATTCGCCTGACCAAGTGATCTACCAAGAAGCCCATCCCTCCGTGCCTAGCCCAACGAGCACTTCACGCTGCAGTAACGAATCGTCAAAGGCAGCGACCGTACTCGCTTGGATGCGAGACCCGTGCCGTATTGTCACCGTGCATCTAGTCGTCCGCGTCCATTCTATCGTCTTCTTCTAGAAGGCCAAGTTCATCGCTCAAGCTCCCCGCTCGATTGCTGCATGAAGAACCACCGAGAGGCGTTTCAGAAGTCAAAATACCGTTGCAGATATGCATCGACATGGAGTTATTATTGAATCGAACGACAAGAACACATCCGGGAGAGGTATGATTCCGATGAGAGCCAAACTTGACGATCCGTTTCATCGCCAAAGTTGCCGTCCTCTATGCCCTCCCCGCTGCTGTCCGCCACACCTCACGGCGGTTAGTTCTGTCTCCTCGCCCCAAACACTGCGGGTCATCCTATTGTAACAACCCCACTGGTCAATCTCGATCACGGAGGGCTCATACCCCCCCGTTCATGACCCCCGCCAGGTGCGTGCGTTGGTCACCACAACTCTGTGAGACTCCATCACCCTGACCCTAGCAGTTCAGCCGAGCCTGTTGTGCGCCTAATTTGCGGGTCTTTGCTCAAGCTAGCACTCTGGGACTCAGCATCCAATATTACGAACCGCCAGAACGATACAGTGGGGTGCACACCACCAGTTAGTGTTTGTGTGGTCCACGGGAACGTGTGCGCAAGATGGAGAAATATGCCACAAACGCGATTTTTGGAGCGTAGGATACGGTAGTCAGCAACAAATGACGTGCGTAGGAGGAGTGTGAGCAGAGGGAAACATCGCCGGCGAAGCTCGGGGTTCCAAGATAAACACATCCATGAACGAAAACGAGTGCCAAGAAGGGTGTTGTTGCTCCATGTCCACTCGTAGGAGCAGCGCTTCGCGTCCAGAGGGGTCCCTTGTCAACGTTGGAGTGACCAGGGCAAGAGCCAACCAAGTACACAAGACCTATTTATCAGACCTCATCGCCTGTCCGACTAACGCCTCTCCCCGATGCCCTCCTCGGCCTCAACGGTTGTGCAGGTTGCTTCACTTCGTATATCAGTGATGGGTTTTGCGACTCATGTAAGTGGCCGTTCTCGATGTGTTGACTACTGCTGATGCTGTCAGATGATCGGTGATGATGTCGCTCCACGGTACTGGGAGCCACTTCAACTTCTAGGCTGGGAATTTGCGAGAATGAGAATTAAGTCACGGAGCCGCTGAAACAGTCGGTGTGTCGTTTGTTTTACTTTGCATCGGGATGGATATGCGGGGCGAGTTCGGATCGTCCTTGGCATTGAAATGTTTGCTGAGTATGCCGGATCTGCTTCAGTAGTCCAAGCCGCAAGGTGAGCACACGAGGAAAACATCCCCTGTAGGTAAAGCATTGAACGACGCCACGGCCGGTATAGCAGATTGCAACTGTAAATTATCGCGATGCTCCCACGTACGGTGCCGTATATAAACCTTGGAACCCTGAAGGCAAGGTGTACTTGGTTGTTTCGTTCTTGCTTTCTACTTTCGCAGCGAACAACATTTCCGGCTGCGACTACGACGGCGGGGACTGTGAGTGAACGACTGGCGAGAGCTGGACTGGCCTTGAGCATGGTCTGAACCAGATGCTTCTCGAAGAGCGAGCACCCCACCTTCGTCGTCCTATCGTGCTGATAGATGGCCTGTTGCGCACATGGTTGAGCATTCTGCTGGATGCCCTTGTCAATGTCGCGTCGCGCAGTATCAAATTCAACATGTGTATGGTATCCTCAAGAACCCACTCCAACGTTTCTCAATTTTCGGTCGTGTAGTCAAGATGACCGACGCTTGATTGGATGGTTCATCTATAAGGGTTCTTCTGCGGCCAACCCCCCCTTTCTTTCATTGAATTGCCTCCTCAATCTGCTGTGATCGCGATCCCAGGACCTAATAGCCACAGTAGTTCTGAGCATCAGTGGCTGATCGTCTTCCTCCACTTTTTACTTTCCATCTTCAAACTATCCATTCAGAACTAACCTCGTCGCGTGATGTCACCGGCCATCTTGTTCTCCGCGATGCTACCAAACCTTAAGGCTGCTCATGCGACTGCCTCGACGACACCTACCAGTGCGGTGTTGTCGGCTTCACGTGCATCGATCCCACATCGTCCTGCTACTGTAAGCCGAAGTACTGATATCTGAAATAGGTTGCAGCGGCAGCTGTGTGTTGGTCCCTGGCACTGTCGTCGTGGATCGTATGTGTCAAGACGCTTGTGCACTAAATTGACCGATGCGAGATAGATGTGAGGTAGCCATTTGTCGACCGAGATACTGCCTTCACCAGCCGACACGGACATGAAGGCGGGCATTTGGTGTACCTCGAGGTGGAAAGTCTCGACATTCTCGGTGACACTGCTGTTCCACCCACGCTGACGCAGGTCTGGTAGAAATAGTGCATATATTCCTATGTATTTCCACCATTTTTCCCTCTGGCACGGCCAAGGCGGCGTCTGGTGTGGTCGCAAGAGCATCGGGCTCGACTCAGAAGTGGTGGTGTTCCCTTGGTTGTGAAAGGAATTTCGATGCTGAGCCCTGGAAATTGAACGATATGGAGGACGTGAAGAAAGGCTATGGGCAGATGAAGACATGGGCAGCACTTCGAGCTATATCGGCTTACCGTAGAACGGTGGAGTCTGCGACCACTCCTCATCCTCCGGTCCCCCGGCTTCTTTCGTTTGTGATCGATACGTATGTTTGAAATCAACGGCGTGCGCGGCCGGAGAAATCTTGTTCGACGATGACCATCTGTTGCCAGATCACCACTACTACGACGACGACTACTACTACTACTACTATGACGAAGACGACGGCAACTACTTGGATGACGACTACTCTGTCCCAACCTACTACTTGGATGACGACGACGGGAGCACCAGTAAGGGCATTGGGCATGTGACCGTGCTCTCAGATGATGAATCCGTGCCTTCTTGCATGTTTCTGCATCTTCATGTCAAATCCACACCATCTAGGTCCGGGGGTAAATGATGTTGATTGTTTAAGCGCTCCACTTATTTCAGTTTGGGCCGGCCGAGAGAGTCTAATGTATACCGTTATGATGTAGAGAGTAAATGATGAACGTATGTTGGTTTGCATAGGATACAGTGTGCATGTTCAAAGGTGATGTACCGCTGGGTTGCACGGGGGCATAGACCGTACACACTTTGGACCGAAACACTTTATATCACGTCGTTCTGCCGCACTGGCAGCGCCACGACGAGCGGTCACGCAGATTCGATTAAAGCCAGTGGCGAGGACCAACCGGGGGTGCATATATTGGTACAAACAGGATTGTTTATGCCGTGGTCTACTTTAAACTACTAATCGTATGTAGTTTGTGCATATTCGTGGAGGTCATACCTTGTACATGTCGAGTATCTAACGAAAGGTAGGTGTGATCTTCGACGGCGGTGATCTTCCCATCTGCAGAGGCTCGACTTGCGACAGGCGCTGGCAACTTGTGTCCGACACAAGAGCCAGACAAGTGCACACACTCCAGCATGACTCAACGCCTGTCTGACAAACCCCGTTCCCCGATGCCCTCCTCGGCCTCAACGGTTGTGCAGGTTGCTTCACTTCGTATATCAGTGATGGGTTTTGCGACTCATGTAAGTGGCCGTTCTCGATGTGTTAGCTACTGCTGATGCTGTCAGATGATCGGTGATGATGTCGTTCCACGGTACTGGGAGCCACTTCAACTTCTAGGCTGGTAATCTGCTAGAATGAGAATTTAGTCACGGAGCCGCTGAAACAGTCGCTGTGTCGTTTGTTTCACTTTGCCTCGGGATGGATATGCGGGCGAGTTCGGATCGTCCTTGGCATTGAAATGTTTGCTGATTGTGCCGGATCTGCTTCAGTAGTCCATCCCGCAAGGTGAGCACACGAGAAAGACATCCCCTGTAGGTAAAGCATTGAACGACGCCACGGCCGGTATAGCAGATTGCAACTGTAAATTATCGCGATGCTCCCACGTACGGTGCCGTATATAAACCTTGGAACCCTGAAGGCAAGGTGTACTTGGTTGTTTCGTTCTTGCTTTCTACTTTCGCAGCGAACAACATTTCCGGCTGCGACTACGACGGCGGGGACTGTGAGTGAACGACTGGCGAGAGCTGGACTGGCCTTGAGCATGGTCTGAACCAGATGCTTCTCGAAGAGCGAGCACCCCACCTTCGTCGTCCTATCGTGCTGATAGATGGCCTGTTGCGCACATGGTTGAGCATTCTGCTGGATGCCCTTGTCAATGTCGCGTCGCGCAGTATCAAATTCAACATGTGTATGGTATCCTCAAGAACCCACTCCAACGTTTCTCAATTTTCGGTCGCGTACAGTAGTCAAAATGACCGACGCTTGATTGGATGGTTCATCTATAAGGGTTCTTCTGCGGCCAACCCCCCTTTCTTTCATTGAACTGCCTCATCAATTTGTTGTGATCGCGATCCCAGGACCTAATAGCCAGTCCTGAGCATCAGTGGCTGATCGTCTTCCTCCATTTGTTACTTTCCATCTTCAAACTATCCATTCAGAACTAACCTCGTCGCGTGATGTCACCGGCCATCTTGTTCTCCGCGATGCTACCAAACCTTAAGGCTGCTCATGCGACTGCCTCGACGACACCTACCAGTGCGGTGTTGTCGGCTTCACGTGCATCGATCCCACATCGTCCTGCTACTGTAAGCCGAAGTACTGATATCTGAAATAGGTTGCAGCGGCAGCTGTGTGTTGGTCCCTGGCACTGTCGTCGTGGATCGTATGTGTCAAGACGCTTGTGCACTAAATTGACCGATGCGAGATAGATGTGAGGTAGCCATTTGTCGACCGAGATACTGCCTTCACCAGCCGACACGGACATGAAGGCGGGCATTTGGTGTACCTCGAGGTGGAAAGTCTCGACATTCTCGGTGACACTGCTGTTCCACCCACGCTGACGCAGGTCTGGTAGAAATAGTGCATATATTCCTATGTATTTCCACCATTTTTCCCTCTGGCACGGCCAAGGCGGCGTCTGGTGTGGTCGCAAGAGCATCGGGCTCGACTCAGAAGTGGTGGTGTTCCCTTGGTTGTGAAAGGAATTTCGATGCTGAGCCCTGGAAATTGAAGTGTATGGAGCACCTGGACAAAAACTATGGGCAGATGAAGACATGGGCAGCACTTCGAAGCATGTTCGTTTACCGTAGAACGCTAGAGTCTGCGACCACTCCTCATCCTCCGGTCCTCCGGCTTCTTTACTTGTCAATCGATGCGCGCGTGTATCATCCACGGTGTGCGCGGCCGGAGAAATCTTGTTCGACGATGACCATCTGCTGTCAGATCACCACTACTACGACGACGACTACTATGACGAAGACGACGGCAACTACTTGGATGACGACGACGGGATAACCGGTAAGACCGTTGTGGATGCGATGGTGATCTCAGATGATAAATCCGTGCCTGTTTCTGCAAGTTGATGTCAAATCCACGCCATCGTTGACGCCACACTCCGCTTGTTCCAGTTTGGGCCGGTCGAGAGAGTCTAACAGAATTTAGATACCATGTAGTACGAAGTAATAGTAAACAATGTGTACCCTTGTCTTTTTTTCTACTTGCTCTGATGACTTTCCAATTCTTCCCGGAGTTGGCAGTTTGCAACTTGGGACAGCTTTATCGTGATGGATACCAATTTGTCAGACATTTAATAGTGTTCTGTTCCTGTGTCGTGCGCTTTAGAGGGTTGCGCTTTAGAGTCACGTGGAGTGAAGAACACTCTTAGTCACTTCTAGCCCTCGGAGTGTTGGCTCACAGAAATCCACCAATACACGCACGAAAGATGGACTTGTGTGGCGAAGATGTGTGCTTTGTTTGAGTCCTACGCCACTTCTTTATCGGGTGAGCCTGTTTTGGTGATGTATTAACTTCACGAGAGGTCGACGACCGTCCTTCACACGGACGAAAGAGGGAGTGCTCGAAGAGCGGCTCCCACAGCAAGGAGGGGCCCCGTGAATCATCGCTGTGCCCCCTACCAAACGGCACTCTTGCCAGTCTGCCTGACCCCAAATCATCCAGTACATGTATCCAACACCAATGTTCGCAGACCCACGAACACCCTCCCTGGTTCTTCATGCAAGTGACTAACCATCGATGGGGCAAGAACGCCCCTGGATACATCAGAAAATACCAACATGGTAATATGTTGAGGGGAAACCCGGCGTCCGGGCAAAACCCCTCGGAATGAGCAACCTACCACCACAAAAAGCGTCGCTATCACAGCGGATCACAACGGCCGCACTTATTAGAAAGGCCAAGGCGAAGACAAGAACGCGAGGAACTACGTTCCCCCGGGCAATGGTCGCCCAACGCCCCCTACTCCTGCCATTGGTACACAGACCGCGACAGTGATGCCCCTTTCCCCGCATGGAAAACATGGCCTCTCCCAAGTGCTAGAAACTGCTACAGCTACTCNTGCTCCGTTGTCGGAACAAACTTGACCGAAATATCCCCCGACCTAAACAATCCTCGGATGAAATGATACCTCACGTCGATGTGTTTCGTGCGACCTGAGCTGAGGGGGTTCTGCACCAACGCTATGGCCCCCTGGTTGTCCTCAAGGACCTTGATGCTGCTACCACTGGTCTCTGGGGCAACAAACGAAAGCACAGCACGCACACACAACGCCTCCTTGACGCCCTCCTCGGCAACAATGTACTCGGCTTCCGTCGAAGACAACGACACGATGCTCTGTGTCTTGCAACCATGGCTGACTACGGTACCTCCAATCGTCGTCGCCAACCCTGACACCNGAACTCTTCACCAACGATATGGCCCCCTGGTTGTTCTCAAGGACCTGGATGCTGCTACCACTGGTCTCTGGGGCAACAAACGAAAGCACAGCACGCACAAACAACGCCTCCTTGACAC